AAAAAAAAAAAAAGAGAGAGAACAGATGATGACTTAGAAATCTCAAAAGAAAACTGGCACTACTTCAGATAAAATCAAAATTCAGGACAGACAATTGCATATAAATACTTAGGTTTTGTGCTTTCTGCTACAGGAAACCCAATAACAGAAAAGCAGCTATTTATTATGTAAAAGGTAGAGACTGCAGAATCCTCTTGCCTTTTTACTGCCTGTCTTATCATTGCATCAGTTTCTTTCATGTCACAGTCTGATTTGGGAGAATCAAAAACCACCTCACACTCTCCAAAAGAGAAAGAAGGATGGAGGAAGGGAGCTACTTTGAAGGTAGACAGAGGGAAGGTAAAATGGGACACTGACCTAAGAAAAAGCAACTAAAGTAGCCCTTAGCACTTTCCAGCATACCAAGACAAGCACTATTATTTGAAAATATCTAGTAYGGCTGCATAGTATTCTCTTGGCACATTTCCAAAGCAGCATCCAAATGATTTCACTGCCACACAGGAAGTCCTTCCTCCACTTCCCAGCACAAACTGGCAGGAATAAGACCCATTAGATTCCTCATCTGCTCCTGACCAGAATGTTCAAGTCTCAGTTGATTTTGTCATTAATCACCAACATAAGTTTTTCAGCAAAGCTCTACAGTCAAGATGTGTTTTAAGGATTACCTGTTAGAAGGTGGTGGCTGCTGCACCTGGGGACCCCTGCCAACTTGTGAAACAGCTACTTTCGTTAGACCTAACATTTCCTGTCATAAAATAAATAAGATTTTAGTGCCAAATTTATTTACATGCTATTTAAACATTCGTCATCATTTTGATTTCTTTTTGTTTATGCTGTGTTTTACCTGAAGCTGTTTTGCAGAGAGGTCTTTTGTTCCCCTGAAGACATAACTTTTAGAAATTCCTTCACAGCCAAGCTCATGAACTTGCACCATTCGGCCAAAGGTGATCAGACCCACTAATGCAGTTGGTGGCAAAAGACTCAGCGACATTTGCATGGATTCCTTTAGAGCCTGCAGATCTTCATCTTCCATGCACGTGTCCACAACGTAAAGAAATATTAAAGGCATCTGAGGACCACGCTTTAAGAGACACGAATACCATTAGAGGAAAGACAAATATTTTGGGGATTAAAAACAAAGAAATAAAACTAAATTTTGTRTAAGTGTTGTTAATTTTAGTCATATCAATAAGGTCAGTATTTCATCTACTTGCTTCTTTCCTCCCTCTCTAGTAGTAACCAGTTTATAAGGTTAATGTACAATAAAATCCATATTGTAATGAGCTCCACACAAAAATTTAATGCTGATTACAGAAGAAAGTTCCTTTCAGGATGTCAAGATAGTGCTGAAGCATATGGCAATTTTATTAGGTTTTTAATAAATAGCAAGTCTGGATTGCTCCAAGCGAAGCTAACTGATGACATAATTTTTCTATTAATAAGCTGATATTCACATTGATTAACATGAAGAAATTAAACTGATATTAGTTCCCTGTATATATGGATAGTTTWCAGAAAACATTAAAGGCCTTATATGATTTTACCTGCACTACATATTCAATGCTAGARAACTGAGGTAAAAGTTCGGCCGGTTGATTCATTTCAGATATGCCAGCATAAGTGGGAGGAAACTGCAAACAAAAAAAAAAAGAAGAAKAAGTATAAACAAAAGCTTACAACTTCCAGAAAAGCAAAAACACATATATATGTATGATTCTCCTTCACAGCAAATGTTAACTTCTGCTATTGTGAAAAATCTCAGTGCACTCCAAAGATACAGCTGCACATTTACTTTCCTGCTGTCAATTTTGATTCACAAACATAATTTGAAAGAGGGTATTTTTCCCCTTATACAGAAGAAACTGATGCATTGAATGTTTCATTCCTTACCTGATTTCTTTGATAACAAAAGTTGCAAGCCCAGAGTTTTGCTCGATAATCCACTTGGCTATAAACATACAATTAGAAAAGTTAATATAACAGGAACAAGTCATTTTACTTCACTGACTCTAGAACGCGTGGCTTTTAATTTTCTAAAAGGTATCGACTTTGAAAAAGCTTCATCATAATATATCATCTCCTAAATAACTGTATTATAAATTCAAAATAAAGTGTAGTTTTGTAAGTTGCTCCTAAAAGACAAATGTATCACACAAAGAATGGTCTTTATGGGCAAGAAGATGGTCTTAAAGGAAGCAAATGAAAAAAATACAGTCCAGACTCAGCACCTTTATTAGAGACTTTCTGCATGGTTCTGCACTTAATTCTAACACCCCCTGCCTTTGCTTTTTCTCCCCTTTTCTCAGCATAAGTTTATTAGCTGTCAAAGTCTCGGATTATTTTGAATATACATTACACCCCAATAAAACTAATACCAACTAATAGCTATTTCTCTTTTGAAACAGAATCTGTCAATGGACAAGCCTTCTTTTTTTTTTTTTTTTTTTTTTTTTTTATCAACACTATTAATAATACTTAAGTAGTAAAAATAAACAGTGTGACTCGTATCCTCAGGCCATACAGGTGTCTTAAAGTCATACCCATCGTCTTCAAATTTCAGTTCCAAATGAGTAACACTGGGGTAGCATTAAGAAACTCAGAAAAGCTGCAAGTTGCGGCTATAWAGTCATGAACTACTATGCAAGGACACTGCATCACCTGTACAGTTCAACTGATGCTACTCTAAACATTGTGAGTTGTTTGCCCACTGATAATAACATAAACCAATGTACTGAGTTTACCATAAGGGATTCAGAACRGCTCGACATGTGGTTCTACTGCACAGGACTGGCTCATACTGAATAGGAGGCAAGTCTGGCCGTTCCTTCAGTGGCGTGAAGAGAGCAGCCACTGGGACCACCATTCTGGTGGCTTCAAGACGACTTGAAGGCCAAACATTCCAGCTGAATCTAACTCCATCTCTGTCTTCATTCTGCTGGATAAATTCCAGGAAGGTTGTCATGGTCAGCTTCTCTATTTATCACTAAAAAAAAAAAAAAAAGTTAGCATCATGTTGAAATGGTTGAAATGCAAACATTAAGTATTTTCATTATTTACTGGGTAAAAAGAATTACTGTCATACATTCAAATGTTGTAACTGAGTTATAATGGATACACAGTAARTAATACTTCTAAAACCTTAAATTCCAAGCAAAGAATTCCAAAGAGGGGAAAAAAATAATAAAAAAAAAAACCACTGCTGGGATGGGATAGAGCAACCTCTTCAAAATAATAAGCATCTGGCACGTTGCAAAATAAGGAGATAGTGTTAAGAGTTCTGACCTCTTCTTGATTTAAGCAACTAATTCAGGAAAAAATACCTAAATCAGTAATTCTGCAGTAGGTCTGATGAACAGAATCRAGGGGAGAAAAATGCTCAGAAGACTGTAGAGAAGGATTAATTGACTTACTTTCTGCCTCTAAAAAAAAAGACAGGACACTCTAAAAGATAAAAAATTATAAGTTTATCTCCTAACACATCAAAATCTTTCACTATACTGTGCAAAAAGGAACATTATCCTTAAAAAAATGAGTTATTCATACAGTGATTTGTAAGAGGAAAAGTTCTTAGTTATAAGCACAGATAGAACTGAATCACTAAATCGTCCTTGAAATTATCTCCTGAGAAATCAGAGCTTAAAGCCCATTTCAGTGTTTCCACAAGCATCCATTACAAAGTCCATCAACTCCACCAATTTACAAGATTTGTGTTAAGATCATGAAACTAAATCAAAATACTGTCAAGTGAACACTCACTTTCTGCACCTAGGCCTTAAAAGCCTTTTCATTTTTCTCCAGCTATGTTCGAAACAGCTTGATGTAGGCCATACTTTTATTGCTTAGTTATTACTCCACTGAGGACAATGTACAAATTACAAAGTGCAGTGACTAATAAAAGTAATAAGTACTTACATACATAAAAGATTTGTTGGATTTAATGAATTAGATGTTGTTACATGTCGTACTAGAAAGTATTTCCTACTCAGGAGGCAGAGCCTTCTAGTTTTCGTCTATCTTTTTTTACACCTTTTTCTTCCTTTCCAGTAAGTCTGTGAAGTTCATGTATTTCACATTACATCAGATGAAAAACTCCTAGTCTGACGGGCTCTTTCCAGCTTTGGCAGTGTTACTGTAGTTGCCCATGCACATTTTCTGGGGTGCACGCACGGATTACATTAAATCAGAACCACGAGGCCGTCCTGATCTACATTCCACACGTCAAAAAGATTTAAACTCCTGACAGCCACAAAACACAGGCTGCTTACCCCAGAAAGCCACAGACAGGCAATGTGCAGAGTAGCTAGTATGAGCACCCGGCTGGCGCTGCTGCGGCTGGGATAACATGATGACGAGGGGCACTCTGCACTCCCTCCCACTGGCTGCCTCCACTACGGAGGGCTGCGTTAACCTCCCATCCCGTTCCCTGACACTCTCAATACATACACTCATACRTCTCTCAATACATACATCATACGTATGATGTATGTATACATCATACATGCACACATCTCTCTGTACATCATACATACATACATCTCTGAATACACTCTCAATACATACGCTGATCAGGGGACCTGATCAGAGTCTATTAACACCTCAAGAGAGGCAGTGAGGAGGAGGGGGCGGCCTCTTTTCAGTGGTGACCAGCAATAGGACTAGAGGAAACGGCCACAAGCTGAGGCACCAAAAATTCCACAGGAACTTAAGAAAAGAATTCTTAAAACTGGGGGTGACAGAACCGAGGAACAGGCTGCCCAGAGAGGCTGTGGAGTCTCCTTCTCTGGAGATCTTTAAACCCGCTTGGACGCAGCCCTGTGCCATGTGCTCTAGGTGACCCTGCGTGAGCAGGGGGGTTGGACTAGATGACTCCTGAGGTCCCTTCCAACCTTAAGCATTCTATGATTCTACGATCTCATGCTTAAAAGGAAGCCAGTATGAAAAGACACGGATTCACTGTGCCTGACCATGAAAGCTTCATTCACAGGTAAATGACAACACTTGTTATTGGGTGAAAGGGAGCACTTACAACACTCTAACCCCAATACACACCAAATACATTCAACGTGCTGTATCTACACTCCAGAAAGGGCACAACATAAAGTCTAATTTCCAGTTATCCACCCAAGATGAGCCACTTCCCAAGCCAGCTTGCACAGCTCCGCTCACTGAGCRTTTTTAAAACCGAGTGTACGCAGGAGCACACCTAAGTTTAAACCACAGGGTAGAGCAGAGGCACCAGGGCCTGCYTGGCCCTACTGGCAGGGAGAGCTCGGCCCTCACCCCAGGCCTTGGCGAGCAGGGCTGGCACAAGRGGCACAGGCGCCAGACCAGCCCCGGCCCAGCAGAGGCCACCCGGGCCCCAGCGGGTACCTGTGGGACCCCGCAGGCCCCAGCTCGGGCCGGGCCGCTCTCCGCAGCCGCCCCGGCTCGCAGGGTGGCCGGGCCCGCAGGCCCCGAGCGGCCGCGGCGGGGCAGGAGGGAGCCGTACCGCCCGCCCGCGGGGCTCCGCTCCGCTCCCGGCCGCGCAGCCCCAGCCCCGGCTGCGTCCCCGTCCCGCTGCGGGCTCCCCGCGCCCCTCGCTCACCGCGCCGAGCCGCCTGCCGCCCAGTCGCCGCCCGCCTGACGCTGCCGCCCGCCTCGCGCCGCCGCCCCGGCGCTGCCGACGCAGCCAACATGGCTGACGGGGGAGCCCGCGCCACGTCAAGGGGCAGAGAGCGGCGGGCGGGGGCGGGCTCAGCCGCCGCCACCTCCCCCGGCCCCTGBCGGCCCCTCGGTGCGGCGCGGGGCAGCTCTCACAGCCCCGGGCGAGCAGGCGGGCATCGCCGCCGCCGGCCAGGGGCCGCCGCGGAAGGGCAGCGCCGCCRTTTGCCCTTCGTCTACCTGTCTCGACGGGCTGCGCGCGGCCTCTCCTTTTTGTATTTTTTTTTCCACTACGTGTCCTGTTACAAATTCAGATTTTCCCCTGTTTATCTTGATCTCGCTCTTTAAAAGTGTTTGGAGAACAACGTTCTCCAGCCGCTAGAGGGAGCGGTGCYTCCCCTGCCTTTGCAGGCGCGTAGTGTCCCCCATCCCTGAGGGAACGGCGCCTTGTCCCGGGATACCGCGCGTCCCGAGCCGCCAGAAACCGCCTCTGGACGCACCTCTGTTGTCACTGTTGTTGTCATTATCACTATTACCATCATCATTATTATTTGTTGGGGTCTTTCAGATAAATCCTCGGGATCAAGAGAGTCGAAGCAGTGCATTCAGAGTCCTCCAATCTGCCYGGCATGTTGTCTTCCAGCCTACGTACATAAAGCAACTTTTTATTCTGGAATAAAAAGTTCACATATTGCATCAGACTTCACAAGAAAGAAATAGTCAACACATAGTCTTGGTGTTTTTTGTAGCCTGATGCAACACATTCTTTTCCCTTCACCTTTAGAAACACTGAGAGGTGTAATGCATATTTATTTACTATCTGCATGGTAATTTCCACCTGTCCTTAGTAATTGGAGTTTTCTTCAGCCTTTGGTTAGCATGATATTTTTTCCTTTTTTTTTTTTTCCTTCAGAGTCAAGTTAAGTGATACTTAGATTTCCAGGCACTTCAGCATTACTTTAAAGAAGCCTGGCACAAAAGGCAAAAATAAAACATTAACTTCTGTCTTTTGTGATAAATCTTACTGCAACTGGTCTAGACAAGGCGGAGGAATGAAAAACTGACCATGTCCTTCACTACAGCTATGAAAATACACAGCAACCACTAGCAAAACATAAATGACCAAATTATCTGAATCTCCATCTGAGAGGCATCGAATATGATGTGACAATTTCTGTGCCTATCTCCAGTATTGTTTGCCCCTCCTCTTTAAGAGCTAAGAATATGAACATATAAAGAAAAGTGTGTTTAAAGGGAAGGATTTTAAAATTTCTCTGCTGTCTAATGTCCCTGCCAGCTGTGGGAGTACTGAGCTGCCAAGGACAAACAGCCTCCTCGGGCTATGATAAAGGGTGGACTTCAAACAGATGCACAGCAAGCAGTTCAGCATTACAATTTCAATAGCACCCAAACAACCCAGCGACTATTTCCAGAAATAGTTTTAGAAATAGGTTTTGAAATTTGCCTCTTGATATTAATTTCAAAGTTCTGTGGTTCTGTGAAATTAATAGCGAGGCAAGTTCCAAAAGCAGAATTGCAAGATGACCTCTACAGACAACAGGAGGGAAAAAAGATAAAGGCAAGAAGGAAAACCCGTAAAGCTTAATATTCTAAAAGTTATATGAAAATAAAAGGCATATGGTATTTTTATTGAGTCATTAGCATAATTTAATTTAATAATGACTCGATCCAGTTTCCTAAACTTTCTTTAAGAAATATCATGGAGCTGTTATGTTTGTCCCCACCACAGAGAAAAGCAATGGGTGGCAGAAAAATAGAACAGAAAATTGGGCCCTAACACAATAGGTACTGATTATAAGAAAATATTCTTACGTGTTATTTCCCCAAATTACAATGCACAGTAATAGCATTTTCTTGCTAAAGGATTTTTAGTTTAAGTCAAAACCGCATATCCATTGATGGTGGCTCACCTTTCCTTTGGAAAAAGTACTCTTCCATGATCCTGAGGCAGTTGAGAAGGAGGAAGAATATTCTCTTTTATCTTCCAGTTTCTTCTTCTTTTTTCCTCCACTGAGTCCATTWTGACAGACCCAATACCAACGCTGTTGGTCAGACTTGTTAGGAAGAATTGTTATACCAGGAAGACCACCTGTAATAATTCAAAATATTCAGTTTTAAAAGTGTAGTAGGTTTGTACCAGAAAGTTATTCAAACATAAAGAACATTTTATATTTAAAATATATTTATATCTGTGGAACATCTTTATATTCGTGGTTCTTGACTTTATGCCAAATGGAAATTCTAAATATCACAAAAGTTTTAAAGTAATTTTTTTTTGGCAGCTTGACTCACCTGAATTTTTGTCTATACCACTGTCCAACCTTTCCAGAATTATCATTGCAGTTTCAGCTAAGYAAGTCTTATTTCAGGCTGTGACTGCACTTGCCACACACTCAACTAGGAAGTTAGATCCGGGTTGCAGGGTTAAAACACCTTGTTACACGTAAGTGGTTCTGGAAGCAGCCTAAAACAAATAAAACCCAATGGAAAGGAGGAGTTAGTGTTGGTGTTTGTTCAGAACTGCAGAAATAAACTTCTAGGGGGAGAAAATTTAAAAAAAAAAAAAAAAAAAAAAAACTAATTTTCAAAACCAGTGTCTGAACAGTTTAGCCCTACTGTGTAGATGATAAGTAACACCAAATGGATTCACACTACATGGGGGAAAATAAACATATAAATTGACACGTTCCATAACAGGGACGTTTTAACAAAGCATTCCAATGCATTATTCTCCTGCTCTTTATTTGCTGTGCCCTGAGGAGTAGCCACTTTCCTCCTCTCAAACTCCGACGTGGCCAGGAGCCACGCACGCAACCGCAGCCACGGCGCCCACGGCGCGACTTTGGCGCCACGAGCGGCGAGTCTCGCGAGAGCAGCGCGCGGCGGGCGGGCGCGCATGCGCGTGCGCGGCGGCCCGGCAGCGGCGCGCGGCGGCCATGGAGTCCGGCCTGGAGGAGCTGATGCCGCGGCTGCTGCCCGTGGGCGACTGCGACCTGCCCGAGGACTTCGACCCCACGGTGCCGCCCCGGACGCCGCAGGAGTATCTCCGGCGTGTGCAGTGAGCGCCCCGGGCGGGACGGGGCGGGAGGGCCTGGGTCCGGGTCTGGTAAAGGGAGCGCACCCGCTCTGTGGTACAGAAACACTTCCAGTTACCTTCCGTAAGATCCCCCGTCGCAGATACTTTGTTTTAAATCGCACTTTAGAGACATTGGCGGTATGTGATGCAGGAACAGCGTGTAACCGTTTGCTTTTGTTCTGTAGGCTCGAAGCAGCTCAGTGCCCAGAGGTGGTTGTGGCACAAATAGACCCCAAGAAATTGAGGAAGAAACAGACGATAAGCATTTCAGTAAGTTTGGGAGGCGTTGCCCCTAAGAGACTTCGAGAGAAAAAAACAGCAGAAAAAGATGCTAATACTAGTATTTCTGTACTAATTTTTTTTTGGGATAGTTGGCCCAAATAAAACAATAGAGATGCAGGACAATAAAAGCACCTGCAGAATTCAATGAAACCTGTGGGTTTGGAGAGACAGTTGTTGAGTTGCTGGATAGCATCACTCTTCATAACTTCTAAATTGATATTATCTATACTATTTCATATACAGCAATATTTTACTGCCTTAATACAATTAACTATTGTATTAAGTTTTATTAACACTTTTTCATAAAACTTGTACAAGTTTTGAGAGAAAGATACAACTATATGTACGTGTGTATATTAWACTTTTAACACTATATAATATACAGTATGCATACTATACACACTATATATAGTGTTAAAAGTATAATAAATACAGTTAAGCTTTATTAACAGATGAAATTTGAAACTACTGTTTCTTTTGGTAGGATATTTTACTGTATTTTTTTTCTTACTGCTCAAGCATTTTTTTCTCTTCTCACGTGCCTTGATTTTTTTTTTTTTAATTTCTCCACTTCCAAATAGTTCAAGCAACAGTTTGTCTCTATCAGAAATTGAGTGATCTGGTATTTTAATACTGGACTGCTCAAAATAAGTTTCTAAAAACTATTTTTAATGTCCTCCGACATATATGACTATGCCACTCTTGAGACCATTCTCTGCATTTGACTCCTCTCTTTGTAGTGGCACTCTTAAATACTTATCTAAAGATTCCTTTTTAGTAGTATTTAATAGTAAATGCTGATAGTAAATATTTGCTGATTATCGAGCTCTTAAGGATTTTTTTTTTATAAAGCTTTCTTTGCATTATAATTATTGCCAGTGTTTCCTTAGATTTCTGGATGTCAACCTGCTCCTGAAGGATACTCTCCATCTCTCAAGTGGCAACAGCAGCAAGTGGCCAATTTCTCAACCGTTCGTCAGGTACAAAACAGTGTGGGGAGATGTTTTCAGCTTGTGTTGTCTACAGAGAACACCTTTACTTTATGGGGGTAATATTATATCACTTTATATCCTATCCTTCATAAAGTTATAAGATTCTATAATAGATGTTGGTAGGTAACTATTTTAAGACCTAAAAAAAAAAGTGTGTGCAACTTTGTAGTTGTAAACTTTCGATGAAATTCTTTCAAAAGTGTTGATAGATGTGTTTAAAAAATTAAACTGTTACAAAAATATGTAAATTAAATGTTATAGTTCAGGGAGTTCAAAAATCTTGGTGTTATGCAGTTATATTAAAACTTAAACTCATCAATAACTGAAAAASATTCTAACCCACAATGAGATTGCTGTAGATGGAATACACTGCTATTTAGCAYCCTGGTGACATTGGAGGAGTCCATTATGGAGAGGAATATTGATTGGGTAAAATGCGTTTGCAGGATTGGGACATGTGCACAGGCCTATTTCCTGCCACATTTATATCTTACCTTTAAATATTAGACCTAATATGGAGAATTGCTCTCTATCCACGGCTCACAGTGAAATGCAAAAATAAATAATAAAAAAAAAAAGCTAACGAAAGGTCAGTTACAACTCCACTACAGCTGAAGGCACATTCACAGTGGTATGACATTTACATTTCAGAGGTACCTAAATTAACTCTTATTATAATTAATTGCACTGAARCTGCCGTAGCAGAACTTAGCAGAATGCTGTAGTTAGCACCTAGTCCTAAGGTATCACAAACATATTGTAATAATGACAGAACTTTCATTACCAAAGGCTTACATCTCAATACAGGAAACAGTCAATAAAGCCCCTTTGTGTCTTAYAGGGAATCCACTGCAGGTAAAAGAAATACACCAGGGAAGTGGGCTTGCCTTCTTCCTAACAGTTCTGTAGGTATCTGACATGGGCCAGTGCAGGAAGCAGTATTTCCTTTACAAGTGCTTTTGGGCTAACTCAATTATTTGGCTCWTAAGCTCCGTATACCAACAGACTATTAGAGCTTATTAATTCTACTCAAAGCTTTAAGTAGTAGACTGAAAAATTCCTTCACCTTTAACATCACTTAAAAAAACAAGTAATATCAGCAAGTTAGACTTGCATATAGAGGGCATCATTAGAGACTTGCAGCATTTTTAATAAGCGATGTCATTTTAATAGCTATGAAACAAAAGTAAAGCAAATAGGAATGATAAAAATACTGCAAAACTAAACTATGATTAGGCACTGTTCTAATTCCCCAGAATGTGAACAAGCACAGAAATCACTGGCGGTCGCAACATTTGGACAGCAATGTTACCATGGTAAGCAGAACGCAATGCTTCTGCATTTTTTTCTAGTAGTTTGATTCATTAGATACTATTTGTGAATAGTATCAAAGCTGTTTTTAAGTGTCCTTAAGCCCGCAATATTTCACAATTTTCACTTATTTTTATTCAGCCAAAATCAGAGGATGAAGAAGGCTGGAAAAAGTTTTGCCTGGGTGAAAGATTATACTCAGAAATAGATACAATATCTGATAATGAAAATCTAGGAATTGATTACATAAAGGTGGGTACAGGTCTTCTATCTAATTTTCTGCTGCTGTTTTTCTTGAGTAACTCTTACTATTTGTTATCAATTTGTACTGAATTGAAAGTAGGCTCTCAGAAAATTGAAGAGTTCCTTAACTGATTACCAGCAAAAGCAGAATATTGAGTTGCTAACTGAACAGAAAGCCTTACGTATAGGCTGCTGTAGAATCTTGTTAAATGGTGGCAACATTTTTTTTCGCATGTGCTGTTCTATAGCATGCCCTTCTCTCATTTTTAAAGCATGCTTTTACCATTATGTATCAGACAAATCTTTGATATAAAACTTGTTCTTATTCTAATSATTGAGGATTTTTAATGAACATCAAACTCCAAACAGAATTCAAAATCACTACAAATGTCTGAACATCCCCTTAAAATATTAACACAAGAAAAGTATGTTTCTGATGCTGAGTTTTCAGACTTTTTTTTTCCCCTCCAGATGGGTTTTCCTCCTTTGCTAAGTATTGTAAGCAGAATGAATCAGGTAAGCCAACTTCTTATGTAACAGTATCTTTGCATAAATTATTACTTSTCATGTTCCATCTTTTGCAGAACTGTTTTGTTCTGTTTCAGAGGAGGTTTTTATTATGTTTAATATAACTGCTATTCAGCTCATGCTTACAAGGAAAGCACTCAACCATTATCTCACATTCAATTACAAATGTCTTTACCGATAAACACTTACCATGACTAGTTATAAGAATATTGACTAGTTGCAAGAATATTTACTTTTTCTAATTTCTTTATAGAATGCTTACCTTAATCTCTCATTTCCTGCCTAATGATGTGTTTTGCAGTGTTTAAGATTTGGCCTATTTTGCCTATTTTTGGCCTATTTTGCAGTGTAAAGATTTGGCCCAGTGTTTAAGATTTGGCCTACACTATGTAGAAACACAGTGGAGTAGAAATACTAACATATTGTATAAGAAACAAATACAATTTTTAAATATACAAAACCATTTAGATAGAAGGACAACAAAGCAAGTTTTTGTAGGTATTGCATAGTCTGTTTCTGTTCTTCTTTTGAAGGCAACAATAACCAGTGTCTTGGAGTACCTGATAAACTGGTTTGGAGAGAAAAAATTTACTCCAGAATTGGTAATGCTGAATTTATTCTATTTGCATGTAACACATTAAGCAAAGGCTAAGTTGTTTATCATATTCTTTGAAATTATTTTAGACTTTTCTAAAGAGTATTCCAAATGCATGTACTGTATGTAATTGTCACTTTCAAAACCTGATCAGATACTAGAAATGGTATTTAGAGCATTTTTTGAAGTTTAATTACAAATGCAGCAGATAMAGATCTACAGTTAACAATCCTCCTCTTTATCTTCCCCTGCGAACTCCATCTGTAAGGTTAGGTGAACGTGGGGAGAGAAGAGTATCAGACCTGAGCAGCTTTGATTCAGAGCAGTTCAGGCTGTCAGGGTGCTGCCAGTTTTGTATGCTGAGGTTTGCCTCACAGTTTGGAGATGCGTGGTAAACTGCAGGCAGAAACAATTTCTATGTTTGCATGTGCAGCACAGACCTTTGCTGTGTTGATGTGGCAACAGGTCTGGTCTAATAAGAAATTACATCTTAGCAAGAAGTTTTGCCGTAACTACCCTATGTAGCTACGTATTGTTGGCTATCTAGAAAAGACCAGGGTAGATTCAGTTTTATTCAGTACCAAAAAATTAGAGGTTTTGAGTAACTCAAAAGACAGGGTTATTTCTATAATACTCAACAAAGTTGCACTGTATTTTAGTCATTTAAAAGACCTTCATAATCTGTTCTTTTCTATAGGACAGATTTCTTAGTAACTGTTCAGTATGTTTATGTTGAATATTAGTTTGTTCCTATAAGAAAAGCCAGGGCAAGCATTAGACATTGTGACTAATTAGTAAGTTATGCTATTAGCCAAAGTTAGGTTTATAAAGCCATAAACATCAGTCATGTAGAAGGCAAAAAGCTTTTCTCGGTGCTACAGAAATAATGTAAAGCTTGTCTGAAATACGAGCTTCAGAGAGATCTGATTTAATACATTGCATCTGGAAGAACAGCTTTCCACAGTTTGTAAAGTTAAAACTAATAGCTACGGACCAGTCCTTTGGATATTGTTAAGTATTTTTTTTTTTTTTTTTTGTGATGACTTTAATATTGGAAGTATTAATTTGTAGCTTGGGAAGTAATCCAAACAATAGTATCAGGAAATTTAAGTCTCACAAGAAGCTTATCTAAAGACACAAGTCAACTAAGCAGTACCTCATCAGGCTTTTAAACCTTTCAATTCTGACAGTAGTACTTAAATGCCATTTTGATTTTGAGATCTGCATTCTAGAAACTTCAAGGAAGTACCCATAATTAAAAATCTATTATTTTTTATTTAAATTCATACAGGGTCGATGGCTTTATGCACTGTTAGCATGCCTTGAAAAACCTTTGCTACCTGAAGCACATTCCCTTATTCGACAACTGGCAAGACGATGCTCTGAAGTTAGAGTCCTAGAGGTAAGCTTTAATTTACCATTGTGCAGAGGACTTGATTTCATGTGCTGAATCTGCTCGAAAATAAAGGGTGCTACATTATTCTTTTGGACAGAAATAGCATTTACTTCTCTGGTTTATTTCTCTTTCAGGAGAACAGGAATGAAGAGCAAATATCAGCTTTGAACTTGATGATCTGCTTAGTTAGCAGGTAATGCAAATTCTAAAGCAATAAAGGATATTCCGRAAAAAAATGTATAATTACCCCTAAATTCCTTTAGAAGATAAAAATAATCACAGAAAGTACTCTGGGTTAAGGTACCAAATATACTAAGGTACAAGGACTTACAATTAACCTAAGGGTAAGCAAAACTCATCAGTTTCCTGAAATGAGCTCTCTRAAATATAGAGGTATAAATATGAAAATCCTCTAAAATAAGAACTTGAAAGTAAATATACTAACAAGAGAAAGTAAAGAGAATATTGCATGAAARGATTCTTACCATATTTCACTTTTCTCCACTAGATACTTCGATCAACGCGATTTGGCTGATGAGCCCTCCTAGACTGTTTTGGGAACACCATGTGTTTGATGTTTAGTCTAGAGCACAACCTGCATTATCAGGGTTAAAGACACTGCCTGGTTCAGACCTCACATACTACACCAGCCCTTCACAATGCCCTTATAAGAATGCATGGGACAGCTATATGAATAAGCTGATTTTAGGCTGATCTTTAACATGAGATTACTGGTCTCTCCACATACCATCATGATTTGAAAATGGTCAAAGTGTTGGCCATCATCTCTCAAGCTACCATCGCTGAAGACTGCACTCTACATKGGAGCTTTCTACAAGCTGAGTCATCTCATGGGCACTGCCCTCTGGCAAAGACTTTTAGTCTATGTTTAAAGTGAATTTAAAAAAAAAAATCATTTGTGATTTAATCTAGGACTCAGCTGTTGAGGGCTTTTTTAAACAATAAAGTCTCTTTTAAAAAGTGTTCTTAACCATTTTTATTTTCATAAGGTTTTACAACTGCCTTAGTGTAGAGAACTACTTAACATGGATTTTACAGCTTTTGAGTTTAAGTACTACTAAGCAGTTCAACTTTAGCTCCCAAATTACTGAAACAATTTAGTAAAATGTAAAAGGAAGTAGTGTTAAGACTTTCCAGATAATAACTCATCATTTCTTAATAAAATAATGGAGAAAAAGGTAAAAGTTAAAGCTGTGTTAAGAGAAGCTTTTATTAAATGGAACAAGTTTGTTTTCTGTACAGTGTCTTGACAAACATGTTACCTCACCTATTCATACATTTAACATGGAATGCTTCCACACAACTTTCAGCATCTGTTTTGTGGGTCCTGGGATTCTCATTATATTCAACAACTAAAAAGCTAAAGGAACAACAAATTGTGTTGGTACAGCACATTTATATATGGTATTTTCCCAGTAGTTAGTTTCAATTAACTCCCTCATTTTTTTTTCTTTATTTTCTTAAAGTGCATAACCAATAAATTGTTAAAGGGTCTTAAAGCTACTGGTACTTTTCCATCTGGGAAAGTAGTCTTAATTACTAGTACTCTTAGCAGTTGCTCAAGTATAAAATAAGGATGAATTATAATATGTACTTGATTTTAATTTTAGAGATGCAATTCCATCTTATCATTACTGAACGTCTTTCCTATGTTGCAGATGTGTAAGATGTGCTGTCAAAATGTCCATCCATTTGACATAACAGTGCAAATCTACCAAGAGAGGAAAGGAACAACTTTCCTGTAATCTTTGTACCAYTATAAAAGCCAAATTCTCCTCGAGTCCCGTAGCAGAGTGCAAGCTTTTCTCTGTGTACACAGTGGAATAGCATTCTGCTCCAGCTTCTGTTCTAGGGGCTTCTCAAAACTGTCAGGTTATCAACTAGAACTATTACGAACTAACATTAACAGTACCTAAGATGTGACCAAGTTCTGATCTTTTTAAGTTCAAGTATAATAAACCCCTGATTATCGCATTTACTGCCAGCTTATAATAACCACCTAGAAAAGGACGGGATTATTACAGGCTTCCAAGCTCCCTAGAGCTTAGGGAAGTTTCTGCTGTTCTTGCCCACAATGCAATTAGAAAACCTACTTCTGGCAACACAGAAAAGTGTTAYAGCAGAGAGAAGTGCTATTATAACATGCTAGTTTTTCTCTCTAACTTATATTTGCTGTTCTTAAAGTAGCACCAAAATGAATCACTACCACAAGACAAGGCATTCTTAAAACTTCTGCATAAGGACTATAAGATTCAGTAACACCATCAACTTCATCATCATTCAGTTCAAAAATGCAAAGCCTGAACTTAAGACTCAAGCAAAAYCCATTAAAAGTACTTTAACCGAGATCTTCTCATGCTTACCTAGAGCAAGATATGTATTCTTATGCAAATCTTGCAACAAGAAGTATTTAGCAAACCCCAATGTCCTCAGAGTCTTGGTGGTGCCTTTACAGCTCCGTGCAGGCCTAACCATCTTCCTGCTGATACTCATTACAGAAGTGAGTTGTGGCTAGCAATTAAAAACAATTAAGTTAATATTGAAATTATGCACAGCAAACTAAAAAAAAAATTCCTTTTGTCCAGTAGCTGTTGACCTTAGCTGAAAAATTCTCCTGAAGCAAAAAGAACAGCTATGAATTTTAAGGAGGCAGGAAATACTGCTTAACTATATAGAAAAGTTTTCTCTTTTCTGCAGACCCAGTAGCCAGTACAGACCCAGCATCATTGCCATAGCTATGGAACRAAGGCTCCACCAAACATTTTAAGTGAAAGCTGTGGGTTTGTGTGTTGATGGCAATTGCTGCCTTACACTTTGGAGGCAAAAAGGAAAGCGAACAGTGGCAGTCATGTTAGATGCCACAAAAGACAATAGGTTTTTACTCAAAGTTAGTCTTGGTCAATCTTTTGCTCAGTTCTTAAAACATGCCCTGGTCTTCCAAGTGCTGTTTTGGCAATTCAAATCTTTGGTGAAAACTTAGAGCTGATAGTTTTCACTGTAACAAACATTTAATACCTTGGTATAGAATTAGTTTCATACCAAGAGGTGAGAATAGTGTTATTTTGATGGACATTTATTATACAACATAGTAGTTTTGTTGGAACTGACTAGAACTTACAAGCTAGACAAAATAAAGCAAAATCAAGATACTGAGTTCACATACACGAACGATTAAGGTAGATACCCAGATCTGAAAGTGCTCTACATCTTCTGTATCATCACCTGAAATTTACCTGTGAAGAAAAATAAAAGCCAATTAAAGAATCAAGGTCATTTTTGGAAGCATTTTTTTTAATTTTATTTTGTTAGAAGAAATAAAAAAGAACACACAGAACATTCCTGTCTTATGATTTAATAATGAAAAATCTAGACATTATAAAATTTTAAATATAAAAATTGAGCTCCAATTGAACAGTTTTTCTTTTAAGTTGATCCARGTCCCATATTAAAACAGTTTTGTCAGCTTAAAATTTGTACAAAGCCTGTGGAAATTTTTAAATCCATCTTAATCAGCTTGGGTTATTACAATGAACTTCACCTAGTTATTTTTCATCTTCCCTTGTRCAAGTAGCCTTCCACTTTCACATTATTATCTAATACTTTCAAATGTAAACATAGCTTTCTAGTTTTGTTTCCATTTAATAACAGGGAGGTTCCTCCTATGCAAGTATTTTGTCAGCACTATTTAGTGTCAAGCCATGTCCTGAAATTCACATAGGGCCCTTTGCACCGAAACATTCCCATCCATTCCACTTGGATAAATTCACAGAAAGCAAAGAGCACTCAGCTCTTTGCAAAGAGGTGAGGCAAGTTTTTACTGAGCTAACAAGTGAATACTCAGGTCTACTTACATGCTGGCATTGTTGAAACTTCTGCTGTTACAATGCTCTTTATTCCCAGATTGGATAGRCCTCCTCTGATTAGTCCACAGGTAAATGCTAGATACTAAATAAAATTACACTTTAAAGAAATCTCCAGAATCAAGCTTGTTGTGTATTTTTTTGAGAATAAGTGGTTAAAAAGAATATTTAATTCTTAAACAATATAAAATTTATGCAGTAACTTCAAAAATGAGATGCATTAACAGGACTGCAATAATTTGCTCAAAATAGGTGTTAAAATCTTCAAGTCAAATAGTTCGATGATTAGGAGGAATTATGAAAAACAGGGGATATTTGGTCATATTTCACAACTGGATGTCCCATATCTACTAAAGCGTAAACTCTTTCCCAGCATTTAGGGSATTAAAACCATCTCTTGTAGATAGAGGCTGTAGATAAAATTTCCCTTTGTAAAGGCACTATCTTGAGTCTCTTCCTTCTATTGGTAGGAATTTATTATTCTTGCACGAATCTAAACTCCTTAGAATGCGAAGACTAGGGAGTTGCATAACTATTTACAAATATATGGTGCAAAACAGAAAAATATCACATCATATCAAAAAAATCCCCAATCCCTGAAGTCCYGATAACTAAACCTTAAAGAGCATGAATTCAAAAAAAAAAGAATAAAACTGAGTGCCTCATTTTTTATATCTACTTCAAACCAAAGCCCTTGTTCAGAYGCTCTGCAGAAGCACTGATTTTATTTTACTCAACCATTATACTAATAATTGAGATTTATAATAGATCAAACCATTTTTAATTGGTGGAAGATCTCTTTAAATCCTCCAAACATCTCTAAGGTTTGTTCTGCAGRATTAAGTGCCTTCCAAATCTCTCTYTGGAATTTTGAGAAAGCAACTGGAAAACAACTTGAAAGCAGGAGRAAGAATCTGTGATAGCAGCAGAATTTTCTTCCTAAACTGCACATAAAGTCTGAACATCAGCTCAGCCATATTCACCGTGCAGTCTGACCAGCTCTTACCACCTAGTAATTCAAACTAAAATCATAGAGTGTTTTTCATGACAGTGCATTTAATGTATTTTTAAAAGCACTGATTTTAGTGCTTAGTTGGAGACTAAATTTGTTGTCTTTTTGGAGAATTTATATTCATTCAATTCCAAAATTTAAAATTCATAGCAATATTCATTGCAAAATTCATAGCAATTCATAGCAACAATAATGCAAATCAAACAGGTGATTATCCAGAAAAAAAATATGAAGGATACCTTTGGTGCGTGTTCTAAATACTGCTTTCCTGCAGACATTTGTGTCAAGAGCCGAAATTTATTGTCTTGAAGTACATAAATACCCTTAAAAAAAACAAATAAAAAACAAAACCAAAAACCACTCTTTAGGAACATATCCAGTAATTTTTTTGCAACATTCTCTCAATTTATCTGCAGACACAATATAACTATTTTTAAGTTGGAAAAAGAAATGTTAAATTAAGGTGATTTAAACTGTATTTCTTACTTATATGCCAAAGAAAGCATATTTAAACAGCAAATTTACACTAGGACCTGTAAATAAAAACACAACTTACATCAGTGAATCCTAAAAACTTTTATACACATTTTTACTGGAAGAATTTTCTCAGTGCTCAGGAACAATAGCTCCGTATTAGACATATTTTTTAATATATTAAGTACATGCTGACCTTTACATTTAGATTTGATTCTTCATTTGGGTATGAAATTGACTATTACAATTCTCAAATTCAATACGGCTTATACATTCTTTAGTAGAAAACACTCAGAAGATGATCAAATTTTTAAAAGTCTAATGCTTTTAACATTATTACGTAATATATATTTTAAATAAATGAAGTATGAAAGCAACATAGCTTATTCTAGACCTGATTTTTTAAAGGAGACTGCAATTTCGAAACTTTAAACCTTTGAAACTTTATAACCTTAGAAATGGAATCAAGGATGCACATACAATTGAGATTTAGACTGAATATTAAGTTTTCTATTTAAAAAATATTTATAACTATATTATTTCTTAAATTTACGCTTGAACAACAGTACACTGAAAAAAAAAATTAAGTCTAGTTATTTGGACATATCCTTGTAAAAATTCTCTTGTCCTTACTTTGTTACAACAAGAAGACAGCTGTAAGAAAATCAAGTTCCTTAAAAGAAGGATTTCTGATTCTAGTAGGATAATTAAGTTATTTTGATCTTGCTTTAAAAATTGTGGCAGTTAATATCACCAGAAGTATCACCAAGACATAAATCTGAAGCGAAGTTTTTCAGGTGTCTCACATAAAAATACATTGAATAGAACACAATTAAGCTTTTCACTTGCTAAAAACTATAAGTATTCCTCAAAAGCAAAAGTGACTTCAAGGAAGCCATTCCAGTAAAATACTTTTGCATCTCATTCTCTCAGTTAGTATTTCACAAAAACATTGAGAGATGCACAAAAAAGTCCCTATATGAGTTGATAATATAAAGACCTTCAGCTTATATAGCTGATGAACTGTAATTATTACTATCCTATGCACTTGAGTTTGTTTAGCTTTACATTAGCCATACTTACAAAATTTAAAACATTTTATCTTTTCAAATAGATTCAATAGGCTGATCATAAACAAGCATTAATGAATTGTATTCTGAAACCATACGATCAAATGAACCTTAAAAATTACTATGTTTAAAAAGAGCACATAAAGAATATTATGTTTTTTATTAATTTCAGAACAAGACAGACACAGTGTAACTACTTTTATAAATTAAATCTTATCCTACAACATTAGTACCTGATGATTGGTCCTGAGATTATCTATTTGTTTTTTGAACACAGTTGTCCAAAAGTCTTTGCAAATAAACTTCATAATATCTAATTCATCCTTGAATCTAGCAGTATCTTTTGTAAACCTAAGAAATAAACAAGAAATACATTAATAAGAAAAACATGCAACATTTTGACTAAATAAGTAGAAAAAGAAAACTCAAAAAATGACATTGTGCAACAACGCTTCGGAGGCTGTCGCTGAAATTAGTGCTTGGACTATCACGTAATGTAATTTTAGCATCACTCAGCTTTCATCATGCATTGCAGTTTAAGAGCAACACAGCATTATCTTAGTACCTGCATGGCACAGCTGAGTAAGTGATTTTGAATTTTATGATCATTGAACATGGGTGAAATAGAGAAAGCAAAGCTCGCTTTTTTTTTTTTTTTCTCTAATTTATCGAGCTAAAAAAGGGGGCTAAAATTAATGCATCTACTATAGCTCAGAGGGCTCCTTCAAGTATGACTGAAAGCTCTAACAAACAGTACCAAACACGACACTCTTTCCAGTTTCCTGGAAAGGAACCTCCTTCTGCTGCTTTGTTCAGAACTCCCTCTCTCCCCTCCTCCTCAGTCTTTACAAAGCACTAAAGCACTGTATTCTGTACRTGGCTTGAAACGAGGGCACCAACGCTGGATGCTCAGCAAGCCAGGGTACATCCCCAAAGCGCCCCCGAGGAYAAGGTGCTTGGCTACAAAGCAGCAAGGACTAAGAGTGCTCTAGGAAAAACGGAAATCCCAGAGTTGCCAGTCACGAATTTAAGACACAAATTAGGGAGGTAATTACTAGGGAAAAGAAAAATCGCGCAGCAAACCACGCCGGGAGCAGGAAACATGAAACAGAGGCGCCGGGCCTGCAAGCGAAGGACTCGCTACGGACCGAGAGGAGCTCGCTAAGGCCGGGGGGCCGCCAGGCGCCCGCGCGGCTCCCTTCTGGGGACGGGAGCCCGGGGGAAGGCGCGGCGCGCCGGCCCGGCCGCACTCACCGCTCGATGAGGCCCTGCCCCACGCGGAAGCCCATGTTCTCCAGCTTGCTGATGCACCGCCCGTTCTCCTRCAAGACACAAGCGCGGCCGCCGCTCAGCGCCGGCCCCGGCCCTGGCCGCCGCCTCCGCCGGGCGGCCCTCGCGGCGGGGCCGGCCCCACTCACCCCGTCGCCCTGCTCGGCGGCCCGGTAAAGCCCCGCCACTATCTCGCCGTGCAGCAGCAGGAAGAGCGTCTCGTCCGCCATGACGGCGCCGCGGCGGAGCGCGCCGCCCCCGCAGCCCCGCCCCGCGCTAACGGCCGCCCCCGCCCCGCGCTAACGGCCGCCCTCGGCGCCTTAGGTGCCCCTTGAGCCGCCCGTTCCCGCAGCGGGGGAACCCGCCAGGCTCTTGGGGCCAAAGCAGCACCCGCCAGCGGAGGTGACCATGTACGAGAGGCTTTTCTTTAATAAGGGGTTAACAAATTAACGGGCGGGTCAGCCCGGGGGGCGTTTAGCGCCTCTGAGCGCAGAACTGGCCGGTTCCGCTACCGAGCTGAGGCCCCTGAGGCGCTGGCGGCAGCGCGGACTCGGACGCGCCGTGACTTGGCGCGGCGCCCTCAGTAACACCCGCGCCGATTGGCCGCCGGGTTCTGAAGCGAGCAGGTGATTGGCCCGCGTGCCCGTGGCCACGGAACCCTTTACGAGTGCAGAGAGAGAGCTCGTCTCGAGTGGGCGGGGACCAGCGCTCGCGAAGCGGCTTTGTGATTGGTCCAAAGGGAAAAGATGAATGAGTGCTCATTAGCTAGGCGCGACGTCACTCAGGCGTCCAGTCCTTGAGTCTAACGGTGGCAAGCAGTGGCTCTCGCTAATTGGTTAGTTGGGCCTGTCAGTCTGCAAGAAAGCTCTGCGACTGGTAGGTGCCTCCCGCCAGTGCTGGCTGTGGGGCGGACCCTCCCGCCAGCTCGCGGCACTATTGGCGGGCGGCGGCGGGCGGCGCGGCGCTATTGGCTGCGGCGGAGGCGCGTGGGCGGGGCGCCCCAGCCCGTTACCCAGCGGTGCTTTGCGCGGGGCCCTGTGCAGGCCGCGCTGCGGGCGGGATGGCGGTGGCGGTGCGCGCGCTGCAGGAGCAGCTGGAGAAGGCCAAGGAGAGCCTCAAGCACGTGGACGAGAACATCCGCAAGCTCACGGGCCGGGACCCCAACGATGTGAGGTGAGGCGAGGCGGGCGGCGGCGCAGGGGGCGCGCGCGGCCCGCGGCTCCCCGGGGCGGGACGGGACGCGGGAGGCCGCGGCGGTGGCCGCGGGCGCCGTCGGGCGGGCGGGCGCGGAGCGGGGCTGTCGCCTAAGGGCTCGCGCTGTCTCCGCAGGCCCCCTCAGAGCAGACTGCTCGCCCTCTCAGGCCCCGGTGGAGGTAGAGGGCGCGGGAGCTTATTGCTAAGGTAAGAGCCGCCGCTCCTCGCTCGGGTCGGGCGCCCGCCTTCCCCTGTCTGCAAGCCACCCACCGCCCTCGTGCTGTAAGGAGGCAGSAGGGGCAGGCAGAGAGGGCAGGGGGTTACATTACAGCCTAGTTTAAAGCTTTTTTCATTCAAAGTTCCAGCCCTTTGTGATAAACTGATAGTTTGCCCTAAAGGTTTTTGCACCTGGACTGGAAATTGCGGTAGGGGGAGGAAGAAATAACTWATCGGGTCTGGGGAGAGGAGGAAATGGTCTTTGGGACCTTGTTTCTTTATATTGGTTCAAACTCAAATCTCTTGGTCATTGAGAAAGTATTGGGTATTTCAGGTAGAACAGAAAGGGCCGAAGTTGGCAGAAGTTTTAAAAGAATTTTATTGTAACCAAAAAGTTGCTACTATGTCAAACAAATATAAGTAAAAAGCATCRGTGTGTTGTGATCTTTGTTCTTCTCCAGCAGAGTGAAAAGGTTGCTGTATCTTAATTTCTTTTGAATGAATTTTTGCTTAATTACAATATTAATCTATTAGTTAGAACTTAATGCACCTTGACTTTTTTTTTGTTTTTTACAAATTTGAACATTTGAACTTGATGGGACAGCTTCTTTGACTGCAACTGCTCATTCAAAAAGGACAGAAGCTCAGGTGTAAATGAGCAGGCATGTAAACAGTATGTGTGCCTGCTGTATTATTATGATAACAGGAAGATGGCAATATTTCCAAGTAACAGTCAATGTTATATCATTGCCACAAAGACGACTGTTTGATGTTTGTGCAGGCTCAAGGTGGATCTCTGCTAAACTTGGTATTAGTCTGAGCTGTTCTGAGATCACAAGTGGTTTCTTTGTAGGCGTGGATTCTCGGATAGTGGAGGAGGACCCCCAGCCAAGCAGAGGGATCTTGAAGGTGCAACCAATAGGTGGGTGCAAACATTGATGGAAAGAACTTGCTCTATCAGGATGAAAGTCTGTAGTTTTAAAGTATTTAGATTAAATAATTGTGATAACTGTCTAGAGTTCACACGTTCAAGGCTTGCTGGAAATACTTTTGAGTGACAGCATTTGACTATGATGATTCTTTTTTTCCATACTTTATAGCAGTATTTTTTTTGTTGTATGATGGAGTCTACTTCAGGTAGAATAGATATAGATATAGAATAGTAAAATGAGGTTGAATAAATGCTGAACTTATTTCTGCGATGGACTTAACTGCTCATGCTGTCTTTTGTATCACCTGAAGCAGGAAATCTCCACGAAAAAAATGTGCATTTTTGATGGATACAAACATCAGGGATGTTAATTTTTTTTTTTTTAATGGTCTATCTTGCAGATAACTGCTTTCACGTGCCAGATCTTTGTTGCAAACTGTAGTATTCCAAAGGATTTTCTGAATATGTTTATGGAATTGGCCACCAAATTTTAAGACTCTGATAAAGATCCTTGCGGTTTTTAATTTTATTTGGTGTATGGTCTGCAGCATCATATCCTGCCTAGTAGCCAGACTTGTTTTACAACAGACCTACAGATAAAAATACAGCTGAGACCTCCCTTTCGATAAACTGARTGTAGGTAATGTGACAATAGACTTAGGTTTCAAGCTTTTGCATTTCAATGCAGATTAATCAGCTGTGGATCTGGTTATAGTGATCTCCATTCCCTGAACAATTACATGGGACTGTGCCCTTTCGGAGGGCAGCAGGGCCGGCTTTCGCCTGCATCCTGTGAAATTGGCATTGCTGGTAGTTAAGTGCTGTGTCACAAAGCTGGCGGTGAGAGCTGAAAATAAGCTATATTTAACTTGCTACTTAGCTGTTCTTTGTCGGAACCTTGATTCCTTCAAGTGCTCTGATGGCTTTTTATCTTGTTTTGTAGCCGCTCGATCAGGTAATTCAGGTAGATAATACGAAAAATTGTATTGATTTACAAATCTTTATGTATTTAGTGTATTCAAATTTGCTTTTAAAGGTATAACCTTTAACAGGTTATATTTTGGAGACTCTGGGGAGAAAAGAGACAAAGATGAAAATGAACAGAATCCAAAGATGCTCTAAGACTTTAAAGATGTTACTAACACAGTGTTCTGCTCTACTTGATCATGTATTCTCTTACCTGCCGCACCGTGGTAAAAATTTTTACCAAGAATAGATTCTGTGYGTAAATAAAGGTTATTGGTCATGAACTTACCTTCAGAGTGATGAGGAGACTTTGTTGGGGCTGTTAGTCCTTTTGAGTAGATATACTGGTTCATGTTTTTCTGTCATTGGAACAGTTGCTGTCTTTCATATTAGTTTTTTGCCATTAATGCTACTTTTTCTATTTCAGGCTGGGTGGAGAACGTCGGACAAGAAGAGAATCACGCCATGAAAGCGACGCAGAGGATGATGACATTAAAAAGGTAACGCAAGACAAAGGTGAGCTATGCAGGAGGAGGCACTCCTAACTGGAACATGAAATAAGGAGCTTGTTTTCCCTTGCAGCCAGCGTTGCCATCCTCTGTTGTTGCTACCTCCAAAGAGCGAACACGTCGAGACCTTATACAAGATCAAAATATGGATGAGAAAGGAAAGCAAAGGTATGCAGAAGTGCCTTCTCAGCTCTAATGTGGTAATTCTGCGTGCTAGCACAAACAGCTTTAGATTTTAAAAATATAATATAGATTTTCTTCTGCATCAGATGAGGTACAGAGATGATGCAAACTTGGATATTGTGCTAACACTTATCTTCTGAGAAGATTCATGTAAACTTTCTGTAACTGATAGTGATTCTATTTCTCAGGCCACCTACTGGAATCAAGTTTGCTAGTGCTAGTGTAACTGACTGTCTCCAAGTTTGAAGAAATATATGTGTAGCTTCACTGGTTAGTTAATATTTTGGGTTGTTACAACAGGACACAAAAAGCAAATTTGAATCTGGAGGGCGCTTCAGATATAGATACTGTGCTTTGCGTTATAGAAAACTGTATAAAAGTGTCCTGAAGTAGTTGCTTTTTCCTCAGTTATGCAGTTAAAGAAGATGCATTGTTTTTAAAACAACATGTTTTTCAGTTACAGGTGATATTTTGTGTGTTATTAAAAGGAGTTGGGTTTTTATTCTGTTTTTTACAGAATAGTCCTGTTGTGCATTTTCTCTCTTCTGTTTCTGCTCTCATGGTTACTATCATGTTTACAGCCTGACCTTCATTTTTACCTACTCCTCTTTAATTGCCTCTTGCTTACAATCGTATCACCATTTCTCTTGTATGTTATTTGTATTAAARTAACTTTTAAAAGTTCTTGCTGAGCCCTGGTCCTGTTCAGGAGAGTAGTTGCTGATTTGCTTTTCTGTGTACATCCTCTTAGACTCTGTCCATTCCAATCTGCAGCTCACCTGGTACATTTTGATCACCACACTAACTATGATTCCATCACCAGATTCCAAATCCTGTTCCTACATGATTTTATGGACATGATTTGTTAAGGAAAAAGGAAGGAAATAAATGTAATTCAAGAAGTTAGTTATTCAGTAGAAGGGAATTCATTGAATGATTTTACTTATTTTTCTCAAGTTTTCTCAAAATACCTGACTGGATGAAGGCTTCCCAACCATATCAGTGGATTTCCCCACCCTTCTCTGTTTTGTGTTGTGAATGAAAGTAATTCTTGCTTGATCACATTACTAAGCCGTGGCAGACAGTCTTCTACAGTCATGTTGCTTCATTTCTCCTTAATTCTTTCTGTGAAGAAAGAGATTTTCATGTCGTTCAGAAAATGCCAGGACCTTCTAATACTTATATTGATATATCCTACTATTTAGCCCTTTCTTCAGTGTTTTTTGCTCTCAGAATGTTTTATTTTTTCCTCAATGTCACTTTCTTTGCAGACAAAAATCTTGCAGTGTTAACTCTTCTGTGTTATGGTTAAGAGCTATGCCTCACTCTTAAGGAAAACATGATATGTCATTGTAAATTATATCCCTGCCTGCCGGYATGGTCAGTACATAATCTATTGCTAATGGCCTTGAGATATACTGAGCCTTTAAAATAAACATCTCTGAGCTGGAAAACTTTCTCCGATTGTTTATGCAACTAATAAACTTGGTACTTAAACTGATCTTCCAACCTTTTGTTTGGTTGTTTTGTTTTTATTCAGGAATCGACGTATATTTGGCCTGTTGATGGGCACTCTTCAAAAATTTAAGCAGGAGTCCACGGTTACTACTGAAAAGGTACTTGTTTTTCAGTTTTATCAGATTCTAAATTGTAGATAATAAATCAGTATGGCACAGATGGCAGGTACTGTAACATTGGTAAGAGCAAAAATAGCTTTTTTGGCTGTTTTATTTTAGTGAAATTGAGGGATAGGAGGTAGAAAAGGAATTCCAAGGATTTTGTGACTTTACAAAAAGTGTTACAGTGATAGAAGTGATACAGCAATGTTTATACTGCTGTGTTTTCTTTGTTTGCTTTTTAAGTGCAGTATTTTATTGTACGTGCAGTTGAGGRAGTAGATGATCATTCTTCTTATGTACATGATTTGGGGATCATTTCAAAGTAAATGAAACTTCATCAGGTAAACTATATAATTAGTCATAAGCTAATTCTGTAAACAATGGTGAGACAGAATCACTGAACTGGTACTAGCCCTCATGTGTTCTAAATGTTTAAATTACAATCAAGTATACGAAGAGTGTGGGTTTTCTTTTGTCATTTGTTTGGCCCAAACCCAGTGATTTGTTTTTTCTGTATGTGTAGATAAGGATTCTTTTTAGAAAAAAAAGTTGACTGTTAATGGAGGCTCTATATAACTTAATAGTTACTCCAAAAAAAATCTTTAAACTTCTAAAAACCTTTAGGTTAAAAATGGTATGTGAAAGTTCCAGAGAAGTTTGACTTTGAGCTATGCAGTGGAGGCAGCTGTGGAGTCTTTATATTTAAACCTCTCCACGTAAAGTGTTAGCATAGCTGGCTTGCTGTTGGTATTGATTTATTTCACAGCAATATTTGGATATCCTGCCGTTTTCTCTTTAACTAGTAGCGTGGCACGCAAGAAGAACCAAAGTTCTCAGTTGTCTGCTTGCTTTTAGAGCAGGAAACAGAAGGCAGTGAACCATAGGCTCCTAATATAACTTATGCAACATGTGTTTGTATAAACAAATTTGAGGAGTTTCTGCTCATTTTAACATATTTTGGAGAATTTGTACAGGCAATATGCTTTTCATACATACAGTCTTACTATAAATTAACACAGGTCAGGGGCATTTCATAAGACATAGCTATTTATTTTTGTCCAAACACCAAATTGTGTATTTGTATTAGAAAACTATTGTGTAATCCCATGTGGCAGTCTATGTAAATGAACAATTATATGTACACACCAGCAGCCTTTTTTTTTTTGGAGAGAAGGAGAAGTTGATTGTTGTTTTTTTTCCTCAAGTAAAGCTTCTGAAATCTATTAGGCTTTAGTTTTTTGTTTGTTTGTTTTTGTGATAGTGTGGGAGAACACGTCAAATCTTGAAAGTTCAAATGCAAATTGAATGGTAAACCCGAGGCAGATGATAAATATATGCCCTTACGGATTTCTATAGCATGTGTGCACACAGGTTATACAGAATTGGGCCGGCTAGAAGTGGCACTCTTTTCTTACATTACTTTTAATTCAAAAGCTGCCCAAATTTCTTGTGAGGAATGCTTTTAACAGTGTAAGTAGTTCTAACTGGACCAAACTAGAATAATTTCTTGAACGAGGGGGAAAAAAAAATAAAGTACTACTTTATTTACCTTAGCAAAAGAGGCGAAAAGAAATTGAACAAAAGCTTGAAGTACAGGCAGAAGAAGAAAGAAAGCAAGTTGAGAATGAAAGGCGAGAACTGTTTGAAGAAAGGCGTGCTAAGCAGACAGAGCTGCGGTTGTTGGAGCAAAAGGTTGAGCTTGCTCAGTTGGTGAGTTTTGGTTTTGTTCTCTGTTTATTTTTTTCTTTATAAATTATAATGGATTTTGCTWTTTTACTTTATAAATTATAGTAGATTTTACATTGTTTCTTTCTCAGCAAGAAGAATGGAATGAGCATAATGCCAAAATAATTAAATATATAAGAACAAAGACAAGACCCCACTTATTCTACATACCTGGCAGAATGTGTCCTGCTACACAAAAGCTGATGGAAGAGTCACAGAAAAAGATGAATGGTAAGTGGTCCATGTAATTCATGACTGCTGCTCTTTTTGACTCCCTCTGGTATTTGCTGAACAAAATCAAGCCTTTCTGCTTGGATGTAGCAATTTCATGGTCAGGACAAACTGTGTATGCTTGTATGTTCATCATAACATAGTAATGTTACTCCTTTGGTGACTTAGTRTTGTTGGGTGCTTTGATTCTTTTACAAGGAATCAAAAGAGATATATATGCAATCTCAGAAGTATTTGTTTAAAATTTAGTCCTTTATATTAACTTCAGTACCCAGATGTATGCCAGTGCAGCACCTTCGTTTTGAAAAGACAAATTCTGTGGATTGAAGACCCCAGGAAACACAGGTTTTTACAAGGAGTTGAGAATCTTTTCCTTAAGCATAGCACAAGTACTTTGTGATGATTTTCTTTGTGGATTTTTTGGTTTTGTTTTTTATTACCTTAATGTGTGTTCATTTGTCTGTTTCACAGGATGACTATTTTCCTTTCGGAAAACAATATAAAATACTACGTGGTGATGGTAGTCTTACTGTTCTTTTTATTAAGCTGAGAATTATTTTCTCATTGTGTGGGGTGGGGCATAAGAAGCTAGTTCACCTCTCTGAATAGCTTACATTATTAGAGTATTATTATTATTTTCAATACTAATCTGCTTTTTGCTGATTCCTCATGTCTGTGATTCACTTTAGGAACCATAACCTTGTTAATGCCTGTTATATATGAATAACAGGAAATTAAAGTGGTATTTTGGTATACTATTGATTGGACTGATTTCAACAAAGTCAAACTTTGTTAGGTTAGATTTAGTGTTTTGTTACTCTTGATACTCAGCTGAGCTGACCATCCCCTTTGCTTTGAGTAAGRTAACCAGCAGCCTTTGGCATTATGCATGAATAGCTCACTACTCAGAACAAGTAGGGTGGTAATATTTGTAAGTTAAACCAATTTGATAACTATCAGTGCATAGTTAAGGAGAAAATAGACTCCGACCTCTGTAGATTACCTGTCTGAAACTTCTGTTTATACATTTATTCTCCAGCACTCTTTGAAAGCAGGCGCAATGAGTTTGCAGAGCAGATTAACAAGATGGAGGCGAGGCCCCGAAGACAATCTATGAAGGAGAAAGAACAGCAGGAGGTGCAGACTGAAGAAAAGAAGGAAGAACAGAACAAGGAGCAGGAAGAGGGTAAGGTGGCTCAGCAGGTGGAAGAGTTGGAGACAGGTAATCAGAACAATGATGTAGAAATGGAGGAGGCAGGGGAGGAAAAGGGAAAAGTAGGTTCAGGGCATAGTGATACAGAGAAAGAGCAGGAAGAGGATGAACAGAAACAGGAAATGGAGATCAAACTAGAAGAGGCTCCTGAGGTGAGGGAGAATGACAAGCAGCAGGATGGCCAGCATGAGGAGGTCTCAGCTGCGAAAGAGGAAGGTGAAGGTGTTCAGCCAGTGGATAATGAACAAGATATGGTAGAAATGAATGAGGCAGATAGTGTAGAACCCATAGAAAATGAAAATAGCAAAGAAGTGGAACCRGAAACTGAGTGTGATGCTCAGCCGGAAAATGTGTGTAACATTCCTTCCCCTGAGAAAGAGAAAAGTATTAAACCAGAAATTGAGGCTGAACCTGAAGGAAAACAGGAAAAGGCACCTGAAGCCAAGGCAGAAGCCGAGGCCCCATCTCAGCCGGAGTCTGTGCTACCACCACAGTCACCTCCGTTATCCCAGTCCATTCAGGATGCAGAGCCTCAGGTAGACAAGGATGAAAATGCTGTGGTGTCCATAAAGGTGACCGAGGCACAGACAGAGCAGAGTCAGACACTGAGTGTGGAAGTTAAAACTAAGAATAGGAGTAGAAGCAGGGGTAGGGCAAGGAACAAAACCAGTAAGAGTCGTAGTAGCAGCAGTAGTAGTAGCAGTAGTACCTCCAGCAGTACTACGAGCGGAAGCAGTTCCAGCACTGGCAGCAGTACCAGTCGGAGCAGCTCCAGCAGCAGCAGCACTACAAGTGCCACTACTAGCAGGGACAGTAGCAGCAGTAGCTCTACCAGTAGTGAAAGTAGGAGTCGAAGCAGAGGGAGAGGACATAACAGAGACAGAAAACGCAGGAGGAGTGCGGATAGGAAGCGGAGGGAGGCGGCAGGAGCAGATAGAAGTCACAAGTCCTCAAAAGGTGGTAGCAGAGATGCCAAAAGCTCAAAGGATAAAAGTTCACGATCTGATAGGAAGCGGTCTATATCGGAAAGTAGTCGGTCAGGCAAGAGAACATCACGGAGTGAAAGAGACCGTAAATCAGACAGGAAAGACAAAAGGCGTTAACGGAAGAGACCAAGCTTCCCTAGCCTAATCTTTGCAGCAGAAGATGATTTGAGTGAAAGGATTCCCTTTAAGGAGGAGGAGAAGGCTGCCTTAAGAATTGCATGCTGTAAAAAATCTTTTGAAAAAAAGCAGACTGTTTACCAGGCATTCTTGTACTTTTTACATAATTTTGTAAAAGGTGACCTATCAAAATTATGTGAAGTTCCTGAAAATGTAAAAATAAAAGGTTAACACTCCTTTGCATCTTTTTTTAAATATCCTGTACTCGTTAAGATCCTCTGTATATTTTAATAGATAAATCTTTAAGTTGATGTGATCACTTCTACTTCTGTATCATACACTTTTTTTTTTGTAGAAATAAATGTGCATTTTAAATAAATTGAAATGTCCTGTTGACACTTAAATTCTCCTTTTAGATATACATATGCAGGGAGACAATGTTGCAATAATCTTACTTTTCCCTCTATTCTTTGCAAGGATGGGAATCTTAAGTCCCCTTAAAGGGAGTAATCTCTCACTAGTGCTGGATAAGAAGGGAAAGTAATCAACTGGATTATATATCTTTTTGTTTTCTTCTGTAATCAAACATTCTTACTCAATTCTATCTTGTAGTAGTATAAATTTTTTTTTCCTATAAGTCAATAATTGCAAATGCTAACACTGACCAAGATGAGCTGCTCGAGTCTGGAATACCACTCTTATCTGCCTTCTGCAGGTACTTGGGTAATGTTTACATCTATGTTCTGGAGACATTTAATCTGTTTAATGATGCTCCTTGCTTTGATGGCCAGTGGAGGAAAGACTTCAGCTCACTTCTCAACCAGGATTGTTTTTATTTTAGTTGCAAACTAACCTTTGAACGCTTCATACCACTAGGAATAACTACATTGCAGTGTTGGAGTTACCTGGGACTACCTAATGCCAATGTTAYGTGCGTGCAAGATTGCTTTCTGAATGTATTTAGCAGTACAACTTAAAAGTGGTATGGTGTATCTATGAAGGTGAATACTGGTTTTATATAATTTTGTATGAAAAACAACAACATCTGTTGCTTTGTTCTGTACATGTGCAAATAAATGTGGCTTTGTAGACTATTTTCTGGATGCCTGATGTTTTTTTCTATAATACAGGTATGTCACCTTAGTCTTCATAGCTTTAAAGTATTTATTCTAATGGCAGGTGACTACATGTTAGAAGGTGTGTCAAAGTTGGTCTTAGTTTGTAGTTTTTAATTAAAGCCCTATAAGCAAATATGAAACAATGTGCTATAATTCAGTGGTGATTTGCATGAACAAAATTCATGTCAAATGGCAAATTGCAGACCAGGAMGTTCTGGAAAGATTTCAGAAGGAGAATGATGTGTAATCTTACTTTTACTATGCTGATTTATATCTATGTCTCATTTTTCTGTAACAGGATACTGTGTCGTAATTTCAATTTAATTTGGTTGGGATAGTAGTCTTGTTAGTCAATTTTCACCTCATCTCATGATCTAAGTAGTGATGTTCCTGTGCTATGGATTACTGAAATTTACTGCTTGAAGGAACTTAGTTCTATGTAGGGAAGAAGTATAATGTTATTTCAGCACAGATTTCCRGTGTGGGAAGTCTCCACATATTTCCTCTTAATGAGTCGATTTCTTTTTCTTTCAGATTCTTCAGTCCATTGAACTTTAGTATTCTGTCTCCCACTGCTTCTCTACAAGTGAAAGTCACTTTTAAATTCTCATCCATAGTCTTGAACTGCATTTCCTTTCCCCTTTGTTAGGGTGTCAGGGAGGAGGTAGATTAATGTTTTTGATTAAAATATGCGTTTCCTCTGAAGAACAAAGCAAACAAAAATTGACATTTTATTCAAGATGTTCAACTTTGTTGTCTGTAGTAAATTCCAAATATTTACAGAGTAGTTGTAAATGTTACTCATTTGCATGTTTCAGTTCATTTTTCAAATCTCCTTTAGAAGCCATTTTAATTTTTTAACATATTGAGTATTTTGAAAATTGAGTAATTCAATATTGTGTAATACTGTTATTGTAATACTGTATAGGTATTAATAAATCTGTGGCCATTGTAGGAAGCTGGAGAAGTGCATTACTAGTGGGAAACCTCAGTACATTGTTTGAGGAATATACTTAGAGGATTTATAATAATGAGGTGAGTTTAGTAAACTGGACTAAGTCTGGACTTAGTCCAGTAAACTGGACTAAGGAGTGGATTGATCGTATTTAATTTCTTGTTTCAGTTTGGGTTACAGGCAGCAATATATTTTTGACAAGGTGAAAATACAGGAGTTTATTTTGTTGCAGAGTTACAAAGCAGGTGATGTATCTAATAGCTTAATGTCTAAGTTATAAGAAGCTTAGAATAACAGGAGCTTTACTGTGCTGTTTATAGTCAGCTTTGCTAAATCTCAGGAAACTCAGTGTAACCTAAATATGTAGTAAGTTCATAAGAATGGGGTTTTCTACAAGTTAGATATTGCAAACTGGCAAAGTAGTATGCAAGTTGTTATAAAGCAGTAGTTTTTTTTTTGGCAATGTAGTTATGTTTACTTTCCAAGTCCGGTTCTGTCCCACCCTGAAACAAATTCAGAGCCATGGATAGGCTTCATACATAATATGTTCATGTTGATGAGGCAATAGATGCAATTTCCGTCCACTGTCTTCAGTCACCTGTTTCAAGTACTTGACGATTTACAGACTGAATTTTATAAAATGGTTTGAGGGTTCTGAAAATTAAGGACACATAGACTTAGTGGCAGTGAAGTGAGTAAAATGTTTACTTCTGTTTCCTGTAGTGATGATTAGCAATAACAGAAAAAAAGGCCTTGTTCTCTTCTGACTAAAGTAATGTGGAAAAATTATTAAAAAAAAAAAAGGGGGGGGGGAACTTACTGAAATTAAGATGCTTTCACTGAATAGGCAGTGTGTACCACGTATAGTCCAGGCCTGCCTTGTGGAATGCTTATATCAGATAGTCTCTTGTAGCTTTAAATGTGAGTTTAGGAGACTTTCTTACTGTACTTTTGAATTGTGCATTGACTCTATGCTATTGACTTGTATTCATTTTCTTTAGTCCTCATAGAGAAACTGGAAGACAGCCGAAAAGTGTTTTTCCCTGATGTTCAACTCGAGAGTCCTTGTCAAAGGCGTTTTTGCAGACTGTTCGTAGATTATAAACTGAAATATGACTTTGCATAAAAGATGCACCTCTTCAAATTCCCGATTCCTTTCTTTAGTAGACATCCTTGTGCTTAAACCAGCTTCCTTGTGAGTATTCAAAGGAAATGTGAAAGCAATTTTAAAAGGAACATAAGCATTAGTGAACTAAAAAGCTTCAGTAAATTGAATTCCAAAAACAGTGACTTTGCAAATAGATTTCTAAAGCATATTTTCCTCATGGGAGAAGCTACAGCCTGGTGGTTAGGCCCTGCTTGCGACGTAAGTCAGATTCAGCTGCTGATTTTAAATCGATTGTGTGTAAGAGGGCCAATGTGTTCATTTTGGTTAAGATGCGGATCTTTGGTAAAACCAGCTTCCCTACTGGTAAAGTTGTTTGCGAGTCTGCAAGTATTCGATGGGAGCAAATGCTGTGACAGTGGCAATGTGAGCAATTACATGTTAGAAACTTGTGCTTCAAAGGATATCATTTGGCCTTTTCAGATCTTCCTCAACAGTTTCATTTAAAATTTATATATATTTGTTTTGCCACAAGTTTTGAGGCAATTTTTAATATGTGACAGCATTCTATTGTATGGTAGAATGCAATGCATTCAGAATTAGGAAGTATATAGAATCAAAGTAATTAAGTTGTAAGTTCTATAGTTTCCTAGAAATGCACCGTTAATTGCTGTATTTGTAACTCCTTTTTTAATGAGAAAGCACTATTATTTATATATAATTATAATTATATATAATTATATATAATTATAATTATATATATATTATAATTATAAATATTACTGGGAAATTCTGCACAGTTAACCTTAAATTCTGAATGGAGTCTTTTAGTGTTTTCATAGACATAACTAAATTCTGAATGGAGTCTTTTGGTGTTTTCGTAGACATAACCAAAGCTGCAGATAGCTACACAGTAACTGTTGTTAATATAAAGTGGATGTTGACTTTTATGTACTTGGAAAACTCTTTGCAAAGTTATCAGTTGCTTTGGGGTCCTTATAGTTAATGTAGATGATGAATATTCTAGGAAATGTAATGCCTTGTGTCAATACAGGACCATGTCTTAAAAGATTAAATCATACCATTCACTTTACTTTGAATTTTAATATGTTATAAGTGTTCTCTGAATTTCTAGCTCAGTAGTTAAAGCTACTTGAATTTTATCCCCAATAAAAAGCTAATAGTTTCATCCTGATGATAACTRCTGGAAATAGAGCTTACTTTTTCATTAGTATTTTCTGTCTTTGCATGTATAATAGTATTCACATTTAAGTTCTGCAGAAGTATGTCTAATTTTGTCTGTCAAACAGAAATAAAGCAAAGTCTCTATCTGCTGTAAAGTTTTCAACTTTGTCCTTTGGAAGCCAGCTATGATAAACTCCATTAATCTTTATCTTTGACTTCAGTTCAAAGGTGATTGGAAGTTACGCTTGATAATGTCCACAAGTATGAGACTTGCAGAAGAAAAGAATATTTGATCTAAATGTGATTTATTGGTGAAGTTGCAGCAGAGGAACAAATAACAATTTGCTTGATAGTGTTGTGAGCTCTGTTCAATCAGATGAATGGCTCCTGAGACTAAGCTACACAATGAACAGTGCCTAGAATAACCTGAAAATTGCAGGCCTAAGTTAAATGGAGTTMTTATGATGAGTTACAGCATTCTGAGCATCTTCATAAAAAGACTGGGATTAGTTTGCATTTGAACACAAAGGGCCCTTTGTATGAAATGTAAGTCAGAAGCAGGTTCAGAGATAATTTGACAAATACTTTTGTCAACACATGGTGCAGATATCAAGGTCTGTGTTTCTTAGTTTGTCTCCCTATGTAAATGTGCTGAACTGCTTAATTTTAAGTATCAAATACCTGGTCATCTCCACGTTACTAATGTTACAAAATTTGACCATTAATCTTGCCAGACCAATGATAGTTTTCTGTCCCATGGCTTCTGTGCAACATTATGAAAGTCTCTGACCAGATTTTAATTTTGGCGGGATACCCTTTTTTTCCTGGTAGTTGTACAGTGCCTAGCATATATAGAGTCCCCTCAGTGTAAATTCCTTATATAATTAATTTTAACATTTTTTTTCTTTTTTTCTAATCTGCAGAGACTCGGGAATAAGAAGAAAAATGCCTGTTCTAGTTTTCTTCTCGTCACGTTTCTTTAACTTTTTATCTGCCTGTCATTCCCCTTCTCCTGCTTCCCTTGCTACAGATAAACCTAAAGGACCCAGAGAAGGGGAAGGAGCCACTGACACTCAGAAGCACCAGAGGATTCGGGCAAAAGAAGAGGAAAATGTTTGCTGTGGAGGGGGCAAACCAAGCTAGGAAGGAGAGCAAGGGGAGTAGATCTGTCCTGTGTTTTCCGTGCGTGTGTGACACAGCTTGAGGTCAGATTACCTCAGAGGAGAGGCCAGTCTGGCTATGGGCTCGTGTGGCCAAGGCGGGAGCCAAAGCACTAGCCGCAGCGGGAGGCCGTGCTGCTGTGTCCTCTCCTCACCGCGTCCTCCCCTCCACTAGCTGCATTTGTTCGCTGCCTCCTAGATCCAGCGGAACGGCGGTGTCCAGCGTGCTGGATTTTGGAGCGGGGGGCGCTCTCCTGTGCGATACCCTGTGGGCCATGGGAAGGGGCGGTTGGAGGAATGGGGTGTGAGTCAGGCCTRGAGCTTCGGGAAGGGCAGGGCTGCCTGCCTGGGACGGAACACGCATTCCTGGGACGCGCTATCAGGGAGGGAGAGCAGAGGTTATTCCCTGTGGGAGAGCTTGAAAGGAAAGCAGCAGCCCAGCCCCTTGGTGCTTAAGCAGGGGTGGTGGGTTCAGGTGTTGAAGGAGTGCAGGGCGGTGGTGTGAAGCACAGCACAGGGCAGGTACCCCCCACGGGAAAGTGGGGCTGGTGGAGAAACCTCCATGAGAAGCACGTGGAGACGTTTCAGTTTTGAAATACTAATCATCACCCGCAGTCTAAAACATAAACAAAATATATACACAAAATATAGTACCTTAAGAAAAAAAAAAAAAAAGCTAGAAAAATGCCGATTATCATGCAAATCAACACATGCATGTTCTTTAAAAAAAAAAATAAAAAATCATGTTAAAATCATTAATAATCCAGAAAAAAAAAATACTAATATTACACCTGACATGTCGAATTTCTCCTAACAAAGTTTTTCACAAGCGCAGTSCAAAAAATGTGTCTGGTGGAACCTAAACTTTGATGTGACCAGGAGTGGTGTCTTTGTATTCAAAACACTAGTCTAGCTTTCGGTACTTAGTTAATTTTTAAACGTATGTATATAATCAGGACACCTGACTTTGCAGATTGCTAGCAGAGCTAGCATAGTGAACTTCTGTTTAAGCAGATGAGAAGCACAATGGGATTATAAATTTACTTTTTTTTTTTTTTAGACTAAGAAAATAATGTAGAATGTTCTTGTTGACTGAACTTTCACAATTTCAGTAGTTTGTAGTTTTATTCTAAYATGTCAAGGATCTTGGATCAGAGAAGTTTGCTATTAGTAATTTCATTTTTGACAAATCTGCAGAGTAGAAAGGTACTTTCAGAATGGAAGAGGTGCGGTGATCAGGAATGTGAAAGTAAGTAAAAAATGTGTTTTTTTTTTTAATTTTCTGTTTTTCTAAAAGATCATGGTGTATATATAGCTGTTATAAATGATAATGTTGAAAATAGTGATGAAATATTGAAGGCCATAAGTACACACAGAAAATACATTTTGTTGTCAATATGCTAAGCTTCTGAATGACAGACTTTTTTTTTTCTAATAAAAAGGAAGATCTTGTTTGCTGGATTGTGTTGTATAAGTATATAAAAGAYCAAAGTTCAGTAAAAAATACTCTCAAATAAATAGTTTTCCTCATAGGAAATAAGGTTTCCTCAAAACAGTCGGCATAAAGCAGCTTTAAAATATTTTTAGCTCATTTTTTACAGATAGGAAAATGCTTCAGAAAGCAAAAATTAAAGCCTATCAACTGAGAAAGAAGGAATATATCTTGTGTTTATATAAGGTTCATAATATTTTTTCCACAGTAAATGACCTATTTTGATTTTCTTTAAACCTTCTTGTGAAAGACACTTTTGATATATCCTTTTTGCTTATTTTTTTGCCTTAGCATGAGGTAAGAGCAGTAGCTAGTTATGGAATTCGTGCRAAGTAAACAGCTCTGTAGGAGGCAGCCAGGCCACTGAATCACCAATGGGCAGGGATAAATAATAATTTACCCATTGGATTACTGTTGTGAGGCTTGCCATAACATACATAGCTTGAGAACTTCTTAAAGTTGTCTCTTTTGGGTTTGCACTCGAATTGTTACACTTTCGAAGAGGACAGCTTGTTTTTCTGCATRAGAAAGTTGTTTCTAAAAGAAACCTTAGACTTTCTCTACTGATGGATCTTTTCTTTCCTGAGGAGTAGGATTGACTTTACTAGGTCCTGGATGCTCAGATGGCTTTCAGGAATTTTGTGGAACAGGCCCCAAACTGACTGTGGCACATTGTAGTATTSTTTTTTTTTAGGGGAGTCAGAGTATAAAGAGAATTAAAAGGCATTCAGATTGAATTGGAAACTTTGGTTTTGACAAGGTTTAAAGTTTATAATGCTTAAACTTCTTTATAGTACTGATATATTTAAAATAGAGGACAGAATACCTGAAATAATTACTGGACTTGTAAAATATAAAATTATAAATATGCCAGGGAAATATTTGTTAGCCGTTTAAATCTGCCTTTAATACTTGAACTTGCTAATTCTTTGGAGAAATTTCAGCCTTGAAAGCTTGCCTGAGTAGCAACCAAAAACCAATGCCCATATAGGACAGGAGTTCTACACCTTGTAGTAAATGTTATTTACACCTCTCCTCAGTAGTAAGTAGAATATAAAGCAAGAGAAGTTTTTTTTCTCTGCGTTCTGTATTTTCAGTGACTTTGCACTTGCCCGTTTAATGGAGTGGTATCATCATTAAGTACATGTGAAAATATTAATAAACATTTCAGTGTAATTATATAATCGGTCTTCTTCAATATCCATCTGAATTAAGGTAATTTGGCTGCTATAGTTATTTCTTTCTTTCTGTGTATTCCAGCRGCCATGAGCAGAGTTCAAGCCACTGCAGACTACTTAGGGCCTGACTGCCGGTATCTTAACTTCAAAGAAGGGGAAGAAATAATTGTATACTCCAAACTTTCAAGGAAAAGTGAAAATTTGTGGGCAGGAAGTGTAAGTACTCCAATATGAAGGACATATGTACATAATTTAAAATATATAATCATAGCAGGACAGTAATCTGCTTGCTTCGAGGGATCTTCTGTTTCTTTTCCAACATTAACTAATCATGGTTCAGCATTGTCGATGGGAGATGGGTCACTATAATTATCTTTTTATAGAAAGAAAAAACATCGAAGATGGCCAAAGATCAAACATGGAGAGATGTCTTTTTTTTTTTTTTTTATCTCAGCTTGCTGTCCATGGTGTTTTGCTTCATTAGGACTATATGCAATGCTCTGATTTCAACTTATTGGTTTCTGGGTCAGACTGACCCTTTTTTGTGTTTGCATAATTCTTTTGGATATTATCATTTATTTATTTTTTGTAATGTTGCCATCTCCATTGCCATTTCCTCTTCAGCTGTTGCCAACCTCACCTGGATTTCATATCCTATTCTTCTTGCAGTTTAGAGTGATTCATTTTTTATTAAGATTTTTTTCTCACACTTGAGTCAATGGGAACTTTGTAGATGATTTTAGTAAGACCTGGTGAGACCACCTGTGTATGAAACACTGTCTTCACTTGAAGCAGTGTTAAGGCTACTGGTTTGAGTCTGTGCAAACACAATTTTCAAAAAAAAAAAAAAATACTAGAGAAAATAGCAGCATGGATTAATATACTTCTCTCTGCTTTCTAAATTGACAAAAAGAACACTCTTGTGAAGGAAGAATAAGCCACTTGGACCAAACAAAATGAAGTGATTGTGGCAGTTCTGTAAACACATTTGTTCCTACATTTCTAGCATGTAAGCACCTAACAAACTTATTATATTTTAAGTGTTTTCATTCCTTTTATATTTTTACAGAAAGGAAAGGATTTTGGATATTTTCCAAAAGATGCGGTGAAGGTTGAAGAAGTTTTTATTGCAGAGGAAGTTGAAGTGCCTACTAAGGTAAACCAGTATCATCAGATTTTCTTAAATAGTTCACAGCAATTAAAAATACAATATCCAGTTAGAAATTCAAGAATCACTGCATTTTTTTTCAGATAATTCAAATATACTTTTGTTATTTTTCTACTTGTTTATCATCCTCTCAAAATCTAAGGTAGGTTTTATCTAATAAACCATAAATAATATTAGCAATATCATAACTATGTAAATTCCTTCATATAAAGTTAAATACAGAAACAACTACACAGAGAAAGAAGAAAGTATAAAGACATACATGTCATATTACATGGTGCTATATAAAATTGCAAAAGAAAACACTTTAGTAACATTTAATATTGTTCTTTTAGGAAACTGATTTCCTCTGTCTTGATGGAGATGAGTACATTTTYGAAAATAAAGACAGTGTATTACATGATCCGGATAAAGAAACTGAATATTCATCATCTGATGAAGAATCAAAGCTACAAGAAAATGAAYTCCTAAAATATTTAAGAGACTCCATGCAGAAGGAAGAAAGATTTGAATCAGTTTCTGAAAATGATTCCAAGGAATCTCACAGTCAGGAGTCTGCAAGCAAAAAGTTGCTCAGCAAAAATGAGAATGGAAAAGAAGATGCTGAACAGCCACAAACTCAAACCAGACTTCCATTAAAGCCCCTTCCGACTCCATCTAGTTGGATGGTTCCTGGTATTGCAGGATGGTTCACCACAGAAAGTAAGAAAGATGAGGAGACCACAGAAGCTGTTACTGCGTCTTTAGAAGAAGACACTTACATTGGCAGAAAAATAGTAACTGCTGAAAATGATTTGGAAGAACTAAGTGATAAGGAAGAGCAAGAGCCCACAGCTTCGGGTTGGTTTCAGGGTGGACTGACAGACTTTCTCTATTTTGGTAAAGAGGATGTGGATCAACATCAGAATGCTCAGGGTCCAGCATCAGAAAAAAACAGTCCACAGATCCATGATGTTTCTCACGGGGATGGATATTCTGATAAGGAACATGAAACAGTAATTACAGAAGTACTGCCAGAAGAAGAACAGAAAAGTGACAGCTATGAATCCAAATCAAACTGGTTTAATTTGGATTTAAGTGATGTTCTAAGTTTTGGGCAAGCTGAGAAAGATGCAGTTACAGAAGACCAGCAACACAGAGAAACAGAGGAGGAAGCAAATAAAAATGAAGAAATACAGACTTTAAAACRGGAAGAATCTCACATGGACAAAGAATCACAGGAATCAGTTAAAGTGGCGGTAGATGAAGACAATAAAGAAAATTTTGCACCAGAAACAATAGACTCAAACAGTAGCATGTCAAATCCTTGGATGCTACCAGCAAGTTTACATACTCTTAATGATACCATAAGCGCCTCAGATAGCACAGCATCATCTCCAAACATCCCAGCGGGTGACAATGAGGAGCTACTTGAACCTTGCCGCTCAGAACAAGCCTCGGTATCCAAAAGCCAACTTGTGGCTTTTCTCTTGAAAAACACGGAAGCTGAAGAGAGAAGTTGGGAGCCAGAAAGCAAACATGGCCAGTCAGGTTGGTATAAAAAAATCTATAATTGCTTTCTAAGTTTTAGTATGAACACAGGTGATAATTAACAGAGACATGAATCAATTGCATCAGATCAATTYTTTCTTCTTCTAGCCCATCTCAGAACTTTGATCCCACAGGCACAAGAAATACAAAAAGAAAGCCTGGCTTACTGGAAGTTAACAGAGACATTTCATCTCTTAATCATTTTGCAGGCGTCATGAATTTTCAGAGTCCAAAAACGAAAGCAGAAAAAGTGCCGAGTATTTTAGTGAAGAAACCCCTCAGATAGAAAATGATTTTGACATATCACAAGGRAATAAAAATACAGCAATCAAAGGACAAGCAAATTAGAGAGGTAGTGATGGGCTGCCAGAAGAGAGAGATGGATGCAGTCCAAGACAGAAATCTTTTCCCCACTAGCTGTGCCAAGTAATGAATACAGTAATAAAAAAGGCAGCACATGTTGCCAAATTAGTCAGATAACAATGCTTCACACATTTTGTGTTGAAACCCTAGAAAAACTGAAATATCTCAAAGATAGTAGGTACATGTTTAATTATTCCAGTACTGAAGAGTTTCTACGAGTAGTGGAAGTCTGCCAAAATTCAATATGAAAAGATATTTTTATGTCTTTGTCTCCAAAGATTCTGTACATTTACCATCAGAATTAAAATTTGAAAATACAATAGATTTACATGTACAAGATTTTTATTCTAGTAAGCAGGATTTACTTACAGAAGCTGATCCAAAAGGGAAGAAAAAGAAAAAGAGAACATAGTAGGACAAATGAAGAAATGTGCACCTTAAGCCACCAGAAATGAAAATTTACCTATATGAAATCTGAAATAGATAGAGCTGAAATAGTGCAAAATGAACAAAATAACCCAGCATGTATGTGCAAGAATCTGAGAGAGAGAGAAGAGAAAAAGAAAAAGCTCAGGAGCCAAAATCAACAGCAGAGATAATTGTCTGGACATCAAGAAGATCTGGTGTGACAGTGAGCCCAGCCTTGCACTGGAAACATCAGGAGGAGTCAGGCCAGTTGGATGCTGTGATACAGAACAAGACCCAGCATCAGAAAGCCAGTTCTGATAGATACTGATGTAAAACAAAAAAAGTAATGAATCAGAAAATGAAAATGATCAACTAGGTTTTAATAAAAATAACATCAAAAAAWTCAGCCTGGATAGGCTGGATAGGTTTAACTGATCGACAGAGTTGGAAACATGAAGTGTCCCAATAATTCATTTCCAATTAGCCTTTCTTTCCTAGCTACTCCGTGACCTCCCTTTGACAGATATCAAAACCTCAGAAGAAAGTGGTCATATGGAAGAAATACAGTGTTTGTWTTACAGTTTTTGGCTTGGAATAGAGGGGAGGGAAAAATCAAATTCTGAACAGAGGTTATTATCATGTAAAAAATATAGGGAAAATGTGGAATTGTCTGAAAATAAACATGTTTTCACTTCATTATTTGCAGGAATAGGTAGTGGAAGAAAACTACTAGAAAAAATACCAATGGAGGAACATGAAATAAATATAGATGTAGACAGTGAGCACAACCCTGACCAACAGTCCGAAGCAATAGTGATTCCACTAGTAAATACAGAGGAAGAAATCTACAGTTCAGCGGCTGATTTACCAGTTGATGTCAAAAAGCCTTTCTCAGATGCCTCTTTACAAATTCAGAGCTACTTTCCAAGTAATGGTAAGTGTAAAGTTTATTAATTTGCAATCTCAAGTGTGTGTGTGTGTATATATATATATAAATTTCAATATCGTTATATGACATGCATATAATACATACTATAATACTTTAAAAAACTGAAACATTTATACAAGACTTCTGTAATATAAATGTAAAACCTTTATGTAATGTGAAACTTTTATTTTGCATGTAATGTAAAACCGTTATTTTTCTTGTGAACAAACAGAAGGCAGTTGGATATATCAGCTAGTTCTGTGCTTGAACGTTCTTGAGATTGGGGAATTCCTAAAGTCTGTATTTTCTGCAACGGCAAGTATTATCAGAAAGGTAAGATTTTTTTAAGGGATTTTTTTTCTGATAGTAGTGCAAAATTGACCCTGTTTTTGGTCACTTCCTGCAACAACATTCTTGAAAAACAAATGAAAACAAAGATAGAGCCTTTGTAGTCCCCTTGCTTCCCGGGGTGTGTGCAAAGTCAAATGGGATGGACCTGGGGCATGAAAATGCCAGGTTAGCTGCTGTTCATATATCTCTTGTCATTTGTACTGCAGAATCTAAGGTGATGAATTTTGCATGTTCACATGCAAAAGAAAGCATTTCAGCGATCAAAAGAGCAACATAYYTTTTTTTAAATTTTTTTTTRYAAAAAAGGAAACTTGTGGCTCCCTCTAGTTGCCATGAAATCAGTTACTGCATTTCCTTGGGCTTAGAAATCTTGCATTGGGATGCATAATGTGATTAGAATAATTCTATTTTGTTAAAAACATAATTTCAAAGATTTTGTTCCCAAAGTTACAATAGTTCATGACAGGAAAAAAAATCACTTAGCGGTTATATAAAATATAAAAAGCCATCTAAGATTAAGAGGATGTCTTAAATATCACAACACACAGAATTTCAATTGTAAAGTTAAGATTTTAAGATAGAGAAGAAAAAGTAAGTTGATTGCCTTGCTATGCTCTYCACAATTAGGTTAGCCTAATTAATTTATTGCATGGTTAAAGTACAAGGCATGTTCAGGGCTGGAGGAGGTAGCTGTAGTCCAGCCCGTCTCCACTGGGGTCTGTCCCTTTCCTCTGCTTGGGGAGCAGGAAGCTCTTCCCAGGGCAGCCTCAGGTGCTTTCCCAGCTGGAACCTGCCCTCTTTTTTTCGGCACTGTGCAGGTAAGGTGGGTTCATCCCCCTGCTCCTGCACTAGCCCTAATTTCTGCTTGTCTGTTGAGAGGGAGAAAGAAGGGGGCAAAGGACATGGGCCCTTGTGCAAGAGGGCCTGGCACTGCGCAGAGCGGTGGAGGGGACAGACCTGAGTGGAGAGGGGGAAGCAGAGGTTGGGACGGAGAGCGGATAGCGGAGAAAGGGGCAGGTGTTGGAGAGGGAGCYGTCTGCAGGAGTGTAGAATTAGAGTAGGAAAGAGAAGCAAAGAGCAGGATACGAGTGTKGGGGGGATGGATTTTGGAAGGGCTTGCTTCACAAAAGGAGAAGGGGGATCTGGAAGAGGGAGGGCTTGGGAGAAGGGTAGAGATGCCTGAGAATACAGGAGCAAAAGGGTTGAGGTGGGGCAGATGTGGGAAAAGCCTTCAGTGGAAAGCTCAGGAAGGGAAATTCTACTGGAAATGAGGCCAGAGATGGCTAGAGAGTATGTTGAGGTGAGCCCTGCAGTTCAGCTACTTGAATATGAACATAGGGAATGCAAGTCAAGGCCTTGCRGGTTAGAAGATGTGCGGAACTGAAGCGGAGAAGGATGAAACTTGGGAGATGAAGGGAGAATTAACTGAAGATGTTGGGTAACTTTAGCACCTTAGGTTTGGCCTGTCTGGCCAGACGGTGCTGCCAGGGGAACGTGAGAAGAGGCRGACAGGTTCACACTGGAAACAGGAAAGAGGATCAGGAGAAGCAGGACAGCAATCTCCGATGAAGGGTATGCGGTAACTCTTCCTACTGGTACCTGAACTGAACTCTGTTCAGATTGGGCAGAAGAACTTGAAGAGCCACAGGTTTTGTTTTGGTTTGTTTTTCCTGATTTCCAGTGTAATTCAGTTCATTTTGGCCAAGCCACAGCGCAGGACAAGGGAGCAGGCGGGTTTGTCTTTCTGCCTCCTCCTCGCTGCTTCCTTGCTGCTAGACCCGGGTGACCCAGGCGGGCCTAGGCGGGCCCGCGCGCTGGCGCGAGGCGGCGCCCGCTGCCGGGCGGCGGGGCCGAGGCGCTTGGGGGCGGG